CTCTTTTAGACAGTAAGTTTTGCAAGAAAGGATCCGTCGCCGGATAGCGTAGCTCGCACGGATGGCTGAAGGTGGCGAAGACGGCCGGCTTCTTCAGGCGCTGTCTTGTCGCTTCCTCGACGGCGGCTTCTCTCTAGATCCAGCGATGCGGCAATAATAATAACGCAAATTTTTTTTTTTTATAATAAAAAATCGATTTTTGAAAATTTAATAATCGATTCATAATCGTCCATAACATAATCGCGATTAATCAATAATCGATTTTTTTAACCACCCCTAGTATGTACATGGGAAACAAGACTGTAAAATAAAGTGCTACCAAAGTATTAATAAAATGCTACATCAACAAAAGCAATAGTCAATAAGCCTGTCACAATCACAAATTTTGGGCTGACGATTAATTATACAAATAATTGTGATTGACGATTAAATTCTGTTTTGTTCATGTCACTTAGAGTGTAAACCTAAGTAGTTATTTTTTTAGTAATATTTATAAAACATTTTTAATATTAATAATATACTATAATGGAGTCTGATTAAATACACAAGCCTTCATTTCATATGAAGGAAGACCTTTGAAAATATTTTATACTTTATAACATTGTTCTTTTGATGGCATTTTTTAAGTGCTTAAATTTTCAATATTTGGATGGAAAAATGTAATTGAAATTTAAACTGCACAACCATTGCAGTTATCTCAAATAATTGTGATTAGGTAGAATAATCACAACCATACGGTTAATCAATAATCGTGACAGGCCTAATAGTCAAAATCACAAATTAAATCACAAACCACAAGAAGTTAAATAATGAAATACACCTACTTTCATCTTCGTCATCAGAATCTGAAATATCCACATTTCCCTCTTGTATTCTTATTCTCTCTGGAAAAAAAAGGCAAAACAACAACAACAGGATTATAAGTGATCTGAACAGAGTGAATGGAGTGAAGCATTAACAAGGAATAGTAATAGTTATCTTACTTGGTGCAAAATTAGAGACGACCATTCTGAGACAGGGTCTGAGATAAACCGTCTGGGCCGACACTAGATTACTCAGAAAAGCCAGATATTCTTCCACGACAGCCTGACAGCGACCGAGCCATGGCAGCTTCTGTGTGGGGAAACATGTCATCATATATGTTACAGCTAAAGTGACCTGACTGTATTTGATTATTAACATTTGACATATTGCTGTTTCACTCACCAAAACAACATATATTAATTGCTCATGATCCTTTCCAAGTTGAGTGACACAAACCCTGAATTCCTGCAACCAGCTGATAATTTGAGCATCCTACAATGAGAAATATAACAATGAGAAAGCAAATTTCCAATGGCTAAACAAATTCTAGGATCCCCACACCAAACATTTGTGCTTACTAAATTAGGATTTGTATACATCATTTTGATTCAGACGGATTCGCCAATGAATCATTAAGGCTCGAGAGAACAAATAAATAAACAAACAAACTGAACATTACTTTAACTTGAAATTGCTTAATTCATAACTGATGAACTTTGCAACACTGCCAATATTATTGACCTGAATGGAGTCAACATTGACCTAAACTAAAACGAGCTGAACACAGTATTGAGCATGGGAACCCTGAAATATCCATTAAAACCAATACTTGCCTTAATATCAGGATCTGAGAGTTGATGTTTTATCAGTTCATAGTCACTTGAGTCGCCCTGTAGACGTCACATCAGACATATCATTGCATGTTTAACAGACAGTTATGTATTAGCTTTATATTGTATTTATAATCTGGCCCTACTCGCCTGTTGTAGTTTAGCTAAAGTATTGGCAACATTGCCTCCAAAACGCACAGTTTTCATTGGAGGTGAATTGAGGAAATCTCTGCCCTGGCATTCCATTATTTATCGCAAATACTCTTAAATCTGAGAACACAAACCAAAAAGACGTTAGAGTCAATGACTCCTGACAAATGACAACAAAATCCACATCGCAATTAATTCAGTAAACTATAACCGCTGCCTCCATGTAACGTTACACATGGTAATGGTAAAGATAATCAATAAAAAGACAAACGCTGTATGAAGATTATAAGCATCGTTAAAGACTACGCGTAGTTATTAAACAGACTACATCACGCGAGTTAATAGATCACAACTTACCAAAAAAAAACGTTTATTCAAAACATGTTATAAATAAGCCCGGCATTATAAGTGAGATATCGAAATAATCACATGCGCAACCATGCCGAGCTCTTCTTCTTCTTCTTCTTTCTGAATTTAATGGCGGTTGGCAAACCTGCTTTGGTGTATTTCCGCCACCTACTGGGGTGGAGACGTGGAGTGAGAGGCGTTGACGAACAATGAACAAATATTCTTAATCAAACGTGTTTTCTTAAGATATTCTAATAAAGCAGTAGTCTTTTGAATTATTGTTCAGCAAGTTCCTTTAAAAGAACATGTTATACACATATGCTGCTGCACAATCCTGTATTATGTTTGCAGTTTTAAAAAGTGATTGATTCAAAGCTGTGTGTCCAATACGAAGTCGTGAAATTATTGTGTCATCCCTTATTTTGCCACAAACTTCTCTCACATTTCCTACTTCTTTTATTTCGTATAAGTTTCTTCCCTTTCCCTCCTGTGTCCACAACTCTTGTCATATGGGCCTATAATTATCTTTTTAACTAAGCCCTCCATTTCAGCTTTCCCTAGAGGGACATTAACATTTATTCTTGTATAGGCCTTTAAAGCCTTTTTGCCAACTCATCTGCTATTTCATTCTCAATGCCTACATGAGCAGGAATCCACAAAACTAAGACTTATATTCCTGACTGATGAATTCTTAACAGGGTCCGAACAGTTTCTATATCGTCTATTATCCTATCCTAGAACATATCCTGTTCTATATATTTGACATTTTTCAGACTCGATAAAGAATCGGAACAGAATGAACGAGGCAAATGTATCTCTTCCAAGTTCCACTCATTGAAGGGCCAATTTAATAGCAATCAATTCTGAGGAGTAAACAGATAAGAAATTAGATGTTCTTTCACCTATTTTAAAGTCCAGCTGTGGAATTACTATTGCTGCAGCTGTATGCCCAGATTCAGGATCTTTTGAGCCGTCAGTATAAATCTTCTCTGAGGGTCATTTATTTCTTCCGGTAATTGACCAACGGCATTGGATATAACCATGGAGGTATAGCTGATATTGCCAATGTCGGACTAATTTCATAATCAAAAATTCCCATTCTTTGTGCCTCATTATTACCATCCCATCCGAAACTGGCTACTTGAATATTCATATTCCCAACAGTTCATAAGAACATCTTTAACAGGGTGACTATTCTTGTGTCCTTTTACTGATATCCAGTAAACCATTTTCAATTGTTGTCACCAAAGGCATTTCTCCCATTTCCACCTGTAACGGCGCTACTGGTGATAAAAAAGCCCCCCTGTGATTGTATACTTTTACCCTTTTTTATCTGTGATGCTGATGCAGAAGAATAAACAATGCATAATCTATAGGTTTTATAGATCTTATACTGCACTATATATTCTTATTAATGAGGTCCGGTTAGCTCCCCAATCTGCCCCAGCCATAGGTCCCAGCCAAGCATCGGAGTATATTAGTTCCCTTTCTCCATTTATTTACTATATTTTTAATATGTAATCCAAATGATGCCTTAGAGTCCATCCATGTTCCTAAGAACTTGATTTCTGAAAGTTGTTCTAAAACCTGTTTGTACAACCTTAGAATTATTTTTTTATTTAATTTTTATAAGTTTTGTTAAAGAATCTGAATCCCCAGATGTTAGCCCATGCCGAGCTCTGCACACCCGGAAGCTCCAGGAGGAAGCTCTCATACAGCTGTAATATTGTTATTACGGAAGTAGCCTGTTTCAGTTGTGCTCTGGAAATGAAAGTTCTGCCACCTAGTGGTTTGAAGTGTAATAACTCTATAAATGCTTCCTCAGTATCCTCATTAGCTGAAAGTACATAGATTTACACATTTTTAGCCTGGTATATTATAACGTGTTTATAATCGTATTATCATTGACTTCCATTGTATGAAAAAGAAAAAACTAAAACAAATTACTGAGACATTTCTCAAAATGTCTTCTATATGTTCCACAGAAGAAAGAAAGTCATATAAAGGTTTGAATCGATATGAAAGTGAGTAAATAATGACATAATTTTAATTTAGGGGTGAACTATCCCTTAATAGTGTTTTTTTTTATTTTTAAATTTGTGTGAGATCTAACAATAATATACTGAAGACCCCTGGCACATATAGGATTTGAAAGCTGTCACATTTAAAAGCTACAAAAAATAATTTCTTATTTTTCATTTTAATTTGAAATATGTCAAGAACATGTTCTTTCGGAAGATTCACCCTAGATTTCAATATTATCCCCCGGTTTCACAGACAAGGCTTAAGTTAGTCCCAGACTAAAACGCATGTTTGAGCTGTTTTAACTGAAAACAACTTGCACTGGCATATCTTAAAATTGTCAAAGTTTAGGAAGAAATATAACAAAGTTTAGGAAGAAATCACCTTTCTCAATAAACATAATGTCCAGATTGAGAAATAAAGATGTAAATCCACCTGAAAGCTGTATTGACGTACATATCTAGTAAACTGTTGTGAAAAAGAGAGGACCGTCGTTGAGTTAACGATCAAATTGTCTGCCACCCATCTGCTTCATTTACACCTCCTGATTCTAAATTGGTATAAGCAAACAAAGATAAGAGGAAGCAAACCTAATAACACTTCTCACTGTCCAAAGGTTGTATTACAGATGTGAGATTCAATAAAAGCAGGAGACTAAAAGGTCTGGGTTTCAATCATATGTTGGTTGAAACCTTTAGATCCAGATACAAAATACACAATTAAATGTAGGAAAATACACAATTGTATTTATTTAGTCATTCAGCCATTTTTTGTCAGTGCATAATCACAGTGTATAGTACAAAGTACAAAATCAATCAAATCAACAAATAATATAAAATAATACAATTGTAAACATTTTCAATAAAAACGCCTAAGTCAAAAAAATGAATGTTTCAACAGGAGAGAAAAACCAAACTCTGCTTCAATGCCATATGGTTGAATATCCTCTTCTGTAACCTGTCAAAAGAAAAAAAGAAAATGTTCAAGCATTTAATTTTTATTCAAAAAGTCTCTCTCTCGCTCTAAAAATGTCTTGTTTGTTCTATATTATTTTAACTTACAGTCTACCAATATATTTATCCTTGTTGAACCCCCTTAAAAACATAATACTTTTTTGTGTTTTTATAAATTTTTCATACAGTTACTTTGTTTTGCTACTTTATTCATATATTATTTTATTGTCCTTGTGTTCTTTACAACATTGTATGCAGTCACACTCAAATAAATAAGTCTTCATATCATGCAGAATGAATATGAATAAAATCTTAAATATGAAGATAAATCTGTCATATTTTTCATTGCAGGTCTCCACTGTTGAACTGAGCTATTGTTGGTTTCATGGTTAATGTTTAACAGAGTGATCTGCCCTTACTTAAGATGCAAATACTTCCTCAAAGTCATTTCTTTAACATGTTTTCTATGCCATGTCCAATTTCCATGCCAATTATTAAATCGAGAATAAGTGATGACACATTCATAACACATTTACAAACACTGTTAGTAGCTTAAAACAATTAATTTCAACCAAGAATTGATAAACTGGTGAAGTTGGTCTATTATTGATAGAATGCAGACAACCAAACGTAATTAAAGTGTATTAACCTGTAGCTATTCCTGATGGTTCATATGACGTGTGTTTCTGTCACTGCCGCAGACACAGTGCTCACATTATCCTGAGAGGTCATTGCAAAAGCCACTGGTACTTGACCGCCTTCTCTTCTGAGCTTTGCTTGACGGGGAGCTGACCCTTGACCTCGGGTTCCCTCATTTCTCCTGAAAGAGCTTCTGATTCCGCTCGAGAGGCGACTGGAGAACCTCCTGACAACCCCTGCCAAACCTCTGCCCTTCTTCAGCAAACCCACATCATCCTCAAGCTCCTCGGGGGGCACCTCAATATTACCCGTGTACCAGAAAACCCACCAGATGAGACTCAGGAAAATGATGATGGCGCCTGCATATATCAAAAAGTCATAGTAAAACAAATCTCCAAACACGCCAAGCAATAAAATGATGAGTCCAAATACGTCGAAAGCCACCGCGAGCCAGAACGCGCAAGAGCAGCGCCCGAGACCGCCCGGCGCTGCCTCCATCTCCAAGCTGTTTTTATAGTTATTTCGGTCGTTTGGGACTGTTGAATTGCCGAACAGCCGTCTAAATGAAGCGTTTGGAAGGGTTTTAAAGTGTTTTCGTTTGTTTCATAGGTAAGCAGCGCGAAGGAAGGAACTCTCTTTTACCACTTCACCTGGAAGGGAGTGGCATAGAGCGGTGGGTGCGTCTTAACTACACAGACACATACTCACCTAGACACGAACCCGCTGCTGCCCCGAGTGTACGACACAACACTCCTCCATATAGACGACTGTCTTGCAGGTATGCTACATGGAAACACTTTCAAGTACTAAGGTATCTGCATCCTTCTCTGATCTTTTTTGGATGGCAGTGGTGTTTTTTTTTAAGATACCAGATTTTCTGTCAAAATGTTATTATAGGCCTATTAACCATTTATAATATGATTATATTTGATATACTAATAAAATATACTAATATGATTATATTTGATATACTAATACAATTTTAAAATTACGTTATTATTATAAATAATTCTAATAAAACAATGTGAAAAGTTTCAGAATCTTTCTGCCGTTTAAATGGTAGCCTAAATGGTTTAATCTCTTTAATTTGTTTAATATTTGTGTTTATTCATTCATTTATTTTTTTATAGTTTAGGCTATACCAATTGCTTTTCAAAAAGCATCATGCTTCATCATGAGCAACATGATCAACTCAGGCTCCCGATGCTTTTGGGAAATGCAGCTGCAGGACTGTCTTGCTGTGCCCAAACAGCTATAAATGCTTAAAAAATGCAGAAACATTTAGAATCATGGAAATTTAAATGTTTAGAAATGTAAACAGATTTAAGAAATAGGAAAAAAAATTCTGTAATCCTTATTTTTAAATAAAATATCCTTTCAAAGTCCCGAGCAGTGGAGAAAGTTACTTACCCTAAAAAAGAAACTAACTGGGTTATTTAGTTAGCCTAATTTTTATGCAAACGTTGCAAAGGTTTTTTGCGCTTTTATTACTTTTGCGTTACTTTTTCTCATCTGGGCTGGGCTTGCTTGATTGTCTTTTTAATAACAAAAAAAGTTAATGTTTTTGGCAAAAAGGCCCTTTCACACCAAAAGTGAAATGAATAAGCCTCAGACTGAAGGAAGTGCAAATTCACGTCTATACAGCGGAATCTAGCATTTATTGTAAATATACATAATTGTGTAAATTCAAAACCTATGCAAATGTGTGCAAACAGTACACATTCAAAACCTATATTTAAAACCTGCACAAAAATGTAGGCTACATAGTGTACAAATATAAAATGTATATACAGCACACACAAATTCAAAAACAACACTACATTTAACATATTAAATTCCTACACAAATATCGACAGAATAAACAAATTCATAACATTAAATCCTTTAAGAAAAACACACAGCTTTATTAAAAAGTCTTCACTGTACACTGTATGCACTGATGTGTTGTTTTAAACATAATAATAAAACTACAAATACATATGTAGACTACTGGACCTAAACACATCCTTAAATCTTACATCTTTAAACACATCCATTGCTTGAAATAAAGTTTTCTGTTCAACTGCTTCCACTGAATATGATAAAAACTTGTGAGTTCTCTTTGTCCCCATGCATCAAGTCGTGTGTCTCACTGTTCAGGTAATGCACCATGTTCCAACCTTAAAAGAATAAATAAAGTTACGTTAGAATGCACTGTGACAACATCAACAGTGTTAAATTACGTAAAAATCACACCAAAGCAGTGATGTATTTAATTAAATTATTGTCACTCTAATTAAAGGGGTGGTTCAGAATTTTGGACATCAGGCCTCATTTCCAAGTTAGCCTTAGTGTTATTTATCAGTGGAGACCGTTTTCAAAAAATTTTCATCCAGTTGTTCCAGTTGCATAGTTCGCCGGTGCTAGGCTATAGCGCGAGTCAACGGTATCTGCTAGCCTGCCATTAAAAGTTTTACCCAGTTTTACCCACTCCACAGTACTCCAAAAGCAAATAAATAACGCCAGACTATCGATGTAAATGTCTGTTAAGAAAATTATGTTAAAAAAGTGACGTCAATGCATACCCTCTATAGGGAAGGGGTATCTTATTTTGAAAAAATTGTTTTGGCTGTCTAAGTGCATATGAAATTAGGTTCACACACGTGTGGTATAGATGAAAACTGTTTGTTTTTTTCTGTAAACTTGTCTTTCAAAGATGATCATAAAGAAATTGCCTTTAAAACCCTTTCTGACATCCTTCCATCATCGCCATACCTCACAAATGGAAAAATGGTGTGTCCAACATATGCTGAAAAGAAGCGCAGCTTAAAAGACATTCAGCCTGTTAGTAAAAACAACACTATCAATTTAGCTTTGATAAATTACACTGCTCTGCGGCTCATATATGCATCAATTTCTTATTTTCTTCAGTGATTATGCTTGTTAATAGGATAGTTCGCCCAAAATGGTTTAATTCCGTCATTAATGCACTCACCTTCATGTCGTTCCAAACCTGTAAGACATTCTTTCATCTTCAGAACACAAAGGAAGATCTTTTAGATGAAATCTGAGAGCTTTCTGTCCCTCCATTGACAGTCTACGCAACTACCACTTTCAAGCCCCAGAAAGGTAGCAAAGACATAATTAAGGTAATATATGTTACTCCAGTGGTTCAACCTCAATTTTATGAAGCGACATGACCTATATTCTATCCCTTAACCATAATTTACCACCTTATTTACAAAATATTAATCTCCAACGCATATTCACAAGAACCCCTCGATGCATGCGTGTTGTGTTGATGCGAGAGCAGACGTTTGTTGCATGAACGCAACAATTATGTTTTTTTTTGCACAAAGCACTGGCGTCAGTTCATAAAATTGAGGTTAAACCATGAGTCACATGGATTACTTTTATGATGTCTTTACTGCCTTTCTGGGGCTTGAAAGTGGTAGTTGCGTAGACTGTCAATGGAGGGACAGAAAGCTCTCAGATTTCATCTAAAAGATCTTCCTTTGTGTTCTGAAGATGAACGAATGTCTTACAGGTTTGGAACGACATGAAGGTGAGTGATTAATGACAGAATTAAACCATTTTGGGTGAACTATCCTATTAACAAGCATAATCACTGAAGAAAATAAGAAATTGATGCATATGAGCCGCAGAGCAGTGTAATTTATCAAAGCTAATTTGATAGTGTTGTTTTTACTTACAGGCTGAATGTCTTTTAAGCTGCGCTTCTTTTCAGCATATGTTGGACACACCATTTTTCCATTTGTGAGGTATGGCGATGATGGAAAGATGTCAGAAAGGGTTTTAAAGGCAATTTCTTCATGATCATCTTTGAAAGACAAGTTTACAGAAAAAAACAAACAGTTTTCATCTATACCACATGCCTGTGAACCTAATTTCATATGCACTTAGACAGCCAAAACAAGATACCCCTTCCCTATAGAGGGTATTGACGTCACTTTTCCACCTGAACACGCCCCCCTCAGCCGGGCTGAGTGGCAAAAGAGCCTGCTGCATGAATTTAACAGGGGAAACTGCGAAAACGCGATATAAAACAAACGATTATCAGTTTAAACGAAAGGTTTAACTCGATATAGTGTTACTTACAACTTACCAAGTGACCCAATATGTGTAACCCAACAGTTGGGTTCAAAAAATAACCCAACATTTTTTACTGTGCATGTTTGAATTTGATCATCAAAGGTCAGCAGCAAAGACATTGGTTAATAAAGTGAGATTAAATACATAAATATATTTGTGTAATTTCACATTTAATTAATTATTGCAAGTTTGCTTAATATTTTGAGTTTGCATTACACCATTTTTATTCATTTTGAGGAATACTGAATCTTTTTTTGTGCAAGTGAGATGAGTCAATGCATGCTCCCATTTAGTCTAGATCTACAATAACCATCATGTTCACACAACACCTCTGTACCTTTACTCCCAATTTCTGTACAGGTGTCAGTCAATAAATGGGAAAACAAAGTAACTTGCGTTACTTATTTGAAAAAGTTACTTTACTAGTTACTTGAAAAAAGTAATCTGATTACATAACTCACGATACTTGTAATGTGTTACCCCCAACACTAGTCCATGTGCAACAAATCATGTACTATTCATGTTGCAACCAAATGGTGCATTTCATGCAAATTGCATGTAAGAAATTACTAAAAGTATTTGATCTATGGCAACATCCTTCTTAATTTGTCTAAAATATCACACATTTCAAAACCAAAATAAAAAAGCATTTTTGAAACTAATATGCTACATTTACACAATTTTTGTCTACTGTTATCAGAGGTCATACATAGCAGAAAGAAAGCAGACAGCAGACATTTTTGCCCTTCTAAGATTAGCAAGCGTGTGATCCTGCCTAATCCAGCACAGGCAATCAGTACCGGAAAAGCTGTTTATCTGTTACCCAGCATCACCCTCAATATCTCATAAAATCTACATTAAGCTGTCGCGTTTCACAATTCTGCACGGTTAAACACCTCACCTCTCACATACACTTCAATAAAACAGAAACTTTACAACTCATCTACAAACAATCTAACCACTGAATTCACTAAAATACATTTTGTAAACGGCACAAAGGAATATATGATCACAATAAAGATTTTTTTTAATAAGATACAAATCTTTTGATTACTGCATCCCTTATGAGTAAATGTGCATGTTATGTAAACCTTATGAGTTTCTCTTTAGAAAGATAGTCATGTTTGGATGAAACACTGCATAGTATGTCCATTTTTTAATTTTTCGATAAATGAATAAGGTATTTGGGTTAAATGGCAACCTAATGTCAGAGCTGAATCAGGGCACACCTCTAAAACACCTAGCAATACAGTGAAATTCATAAAGACACAATTCATTTCCCTTCTGTAAACAAACTGAATCACATCAAACGTAAAACTATACAAATTAAAATGGTTTTTTTTCAGCATAAATATAAATGAAATCTGTGCACACGTTAATTATAAGTTAATTTAATATCACTTTTAATAAGATCATAAGTGACAAGATTTATAAACAGCCTCAATACAGTACCATTGTGGGACAGAACTATCCATCCGCAAAGGCACAAAGTTGTTTATGTGCGCCACTGTATTTTTACTTCTCCTCGTCGTTACTGCGAGGTAGAAGCCGTTTTTTGGGGGCCATGACCCAAGCTAAGGCCACTGCTGCTGTCCCATCCCCACTCTGTCGTGAGACACATAAGAACGTGGCCCACAGGAATGCTGAACAGCCCATAAACGCTGTCCTCAGATAAAGAGGCATCAGAACAAAATTCAGAAACTGCAAGAAAATACAGATTATTCAACTGTGTCAAGAATATTGACAATGCAAAGGATCAATAAGTATTTATGGCACAGTTATCTGTGTATACGTATATGGTTTGTGGGGACAGAATATAGCTCTTACCTGCATGAATGGCCAGTACATCAGTCCAGTCTAAAAGTGTGAAAAAACATATTTAGAGTATTTGCCATAAAAAGCTATGTTCTCAGTAACCTAAATTTAGAACATTAACATTTTAACTTTACCACCCTTTTGAACACAAACCCAAGAAATGACACACACATACATATTACATACATATAAATATATATATTTTTTTTTTTTTGGAACTTGTATATCATGTTGGTCAATCTTGTTGTTACTTTGTATGGCTGCTACCTTGGCTAGGTAAAGTTTAAAAGTTTAAGTTTTTTAAATAAAAATGATTACAGTTTATGAATCCTTTATAGACTTTGTTTGGTCTATTTTAAAGATGACACAAATGTCCGGAGTTTAACACATTAACACATAATGCTAAATCATAAGTTATTGTATCACATATAGAAATGTACACTCATAAATAATAAATACATTAAAAAAAATAAAGGTTTCAAAAGGGGCTTTTCGCAACGATGCCATAAAAGAACCAATTTTGGTTCCCCAAAGAACCTTTCAGTGAACAGTTCTTAAAATAACCAATTTTTTTCTTAGTGTGAAGAACATTTTAATAATCTAACTCTTTTCCACTATAAAGATGTTTTTGTGCGACAAAGACGTTTAATGGAGGTTTAAGGTTCTTCATGGATCCACAGATGCTAATAAAGAACCTTTATTTTTAAGAATGTATAAATATTTAATAACAAAAAAACATTCTTTTAACATTTTAAAAGAAATTAATGCATGTTTATATACCTTGACATGGACCCCCAGAAGAAAATCTTGGCTCTACAAAAGTTGGACCTTAGATGGATTTTTCATCTAGGCTACTGGACATATTTGATTTAGACATTAATGAATTGTCCTTTGTAACAATTTACAAAGGTCCATAAGGTTGATGATGGGCTAGCTAGCCTAGCTGGTAAAAGATGACTTATAGACCTACCTTGTATGTATTAAAAAACTTTTCTCGCCAGTCAGCAAATATGTCCTCTTTGCCCTCCAAGAAACTCACACCTGTAAAGACAAAGAACTGAGTGAAATAGAACAAATAAACAAGTGCAATATATGTGTATGTAGGCTATAAAATTGGTATAGTTACCTGTGTAGAAGACACTGGTCGCCAAAGGTGAAGCAAAAGTTTGGTCCAAAAGCAGTTTGCGGAAAATCATACCAGCCGATCTTCCCGGGAAACGATGTTCTAAGACTCGTAACCAGAAGTAATTGAAGTTACCGTGGAAACTCAGAGCCACAATCGCCACGTTTCTCGTGTGTCTCCAGTCCATTTCATCTCTCTGCGCGATGCACTGATGGACGAAATCCCCTCCGGCGAACAAGCATCCGTACAGAGTCACATTACTGAGCCAAGGCAATACCTTTGCTCGTTTGAAAAAAGATTTTCTCATGTTCAACAAAACGACAAACGGTTGAAGCTATTTTGTAACCTTTGTAAATGATGTCGAAGGGCACGAAACAAAACGGTGACCTGACATTGACAGACGGCCGCAGCTAAGCTCATAAAATGACCTTTTGCTTAGTAGCCTACAAGTTAGAAAGGTATTCAATTAATCCCTTTTGTTTCTAGTCAGTTTGGTTCAACATTTAAAAGGCACGGTAAATTAGAGATTAATAGTTTGACAGCTCATAATTGTGACTCTTGGCGAACATCTTTCAGAAACATTATCAATACAAAGCACTGCCAAATAAAACACAGATCAATCGATTAGTTATACTTTTGCTTCAGTCCATCTTCTTTTACTTTAAAAAGGACAGCAAGGCAAAAATAAGAATTGCGGTTCATTGATCCATTTAGCAATTAAATGAAAAGGTTTCAGCGCGCGTTCATACAGTGATCAGCAGTTTCCCGTACTTAGGTGCTCAAATCCTGTGTTAATCTGCCCGCGCGCTCCCGCGTGTTCAGCGGTGGCGCGCTTTGATCTGAACTGCATAGCTAATAAAGATCGACCAACCACCCAAACTCAGTACCAGTTACCAGATCTTTATCTTCGTGCTATCAACGTTCACTGAGACTTTTAATGCTTGAAATGTTAACATATTTCATCCTTAGAGGAAAACTGAAAACTTATAACACCCTAATGTTTTTTTTTGGTATTGAGATGATCTCATTTATAGGCTATAACTTCACAATCATGCACTTAATATGGATAAGCTTCCCAAAATGTTGTTTATTTTCAAATATTTGCTCAATGTCTCAGGTTCTAAGCACATCCCAGTGTGTTTTAGCAATGTGTCTGATTCTTGAACAGATGGTTAGTTTGTGCCGGATCTTTTCAATGAATCTTCTGAAGCGGTTTACAAAAATGGCTGCAGTCGAAATCGCATACTTCCCTTACTACAATATAGCATAGGTGAAACAGTAGGCTATGTGACAAAAGTAGTATGTCCGAATGGAACCGGGGTTTTTTTATATTTAAAATTTATTTTTATTTTTTTATGTAGGCCTATGTACATTTATAACACTATACTTAGTATTATGCATTGGGTTGGCAAAAGTACCCAGGTAACCTCTGGCGAGATTTTGAAGTGTGCACGCATCTTTTATATCTTGCATACGATTGACACTTTACTATCCCATGAGGCCACGGGAGAGGATTTATGAATGGGAGTAAAGTGACGTCCTGACACTGGTATAGGCCACATAACAATGACAACATGGCGAATATAGTATAGGCTACGTCTGGATTACATTCATACTACACACATTCATACTATATAGAACATACACTATATTCCCAAAACTTTTGGGATGTCTGCCTTTACATGCACATCAACTTTACTGACATCCCATTCTTAATCTGTAGGGTTTAATATGGAGCTGGCCCAACCTTTGCATCTATAACAGCTTCAACTCTTCTGGGAAGGCTTTCCACAAGATTTAGGAGTGTGTTTATGGGAATTTTTTACCATTATTCTAGAAGTGCATTTGTGAGGTCAGGCACTGATGTTGGATGGTGTTCTATCTGCCCCGTATTCAGTCACCACACCAGCTCTGTCACCTCTACTGCACTACTCTTCCCAGCATCCCTCATGTTTCCCACCTGCACACCATCAGCCATCACCTAATTACATCATCACCTGCACCTCATCATCAGCACTCCCTGAGATTCTGAGATTCTTCATGTCATGCCTATCAAGCCCGAATGTCTTCACGTCAGGTCTGCCCAACCTGAGATTCTTCACGTCATGCCTATCACCGCCCTTCCAGAGTCTCGTCCCTTTTGAGACTGCCGCCCTTCCAGAGTGGTAACTGGACTGCATTTATATATATAGCAAAGATGGCCGCCGCCTCGCCGCCTGAGCCCTCAGCCAGGATTGCCACTGCCACCTCGGCAAAGATGGCCGCCACCTCGCCGCCGCCACACTGCCTGAGCCCTCAGCCAGGATTGCCGGCACCATGTCAGAGCTTGTCCCAAGACCTGTTCCTGTCCCAAGACCTGTTCCTATTCCTCAAGGTGTTCCTAGACCTGTTCCTGCTCCAAGACCTGTTCCTGCTCCAAGAACTGTTCCTGCTCCAAGAACTGTTCCTGCTCCAAGAACTGTTCCTGCTCCAAGAACTGTTCCTGCTCCAAGAACTGTTCCTGCTCCAAGAACTGTTCCTGCTCCAAGAACTGTTCCTGCTCCTAGACCTGTTCCTAAACCTGTCCCCTGGGTCCCCGGCTAGAGTGGCCAAACCGGAGTCCCATGGAAAGGCCACGATGGCCGATCCACCCTGGCCACCCGAACTGCAGACTCAGACTAAAGAGACACTTCTCCTGCATACCATTGACTGGTCTCGTCGTTCCCTCAAAGAACACTTACCTGACTCCTTACCTGCACGATACCTACCAGAACGATTTGTCTTCAGTCATCTGCTTCCTTCAGCTGTCTTCAGTCATCTGCCTCGAACTCCATTTCAGAACCTGCAACAGATAAGACCATTACTCATCCAGATATCCATCCTGAACACTATATTCATCAGTTACTCACCTGCTTCCATTGTTGCGATCACATACTAAGGTCTAAGGTCTGCAAATAAACCTGTTGATTACTTTACCTGTGTGAATCCTTCGGTTTCATGACACTATCGGGTTGAGGTCAGGAATCTGTGCAGGCCAGTCAAGTTCCTCCACACCAAACTCGCTCATCCATGTCTTTATGGACCTTGCTTTGTGCACTGGTGCGCAGTCATGTTGGAACAGGAAGGGGCTATCCCCAAACTGTTCCCACAAAGTTGGGAGCAAATTGTCCAAAATGTCATGGTTATGTCATATCACATTAAGAGTTCCTTTCACTGGAACTAAGAGGCCAAGCCCAACCCCTGCAAAACAAACCCACACCATAACCCCCCCTCCACCAAACTTTACACCTTGCACAATGCAGTCAGGCAAGTACAGTTCTCCTGGCAACCGCCAAACCCAGACTCTTCCATCAGATTGCCAGACAGAGAAGTGTGATTTGTCACTCCAGAGAACACGTCTCCACTGCTCTAGAGTCCAGTGGCGGAGTGCTTTACACCACTGCATCCGACGCTTTGCAATGCACTTGGTGATGTAAGGCTTGGATGCAGCAGTTCGCCATGGAATACCCATTCCATGAAGCTCTCTACGCACTGTTCTTGAGCTAATCTGAAGGTCACACAAAGTTTGGAGGTCTGTAGCTATTGACTCAGGATGCACTGACGCTGACCCCGCTCTGTGATTGTATGTGTCCTACCACTTCGTGGCTGAGTTGCTGTTGTTCCCAATTGCTTCCAGTTTGTTATAATACCACTAACAGTTGACCGTGGAATATTTAGTAGTAGTGAGGAAATTTCACGCATGGACCTATCACGATACCACGCTTGAATTCACTGAGCTGAGAGCGACCCAATTCTTTCACAAATGTTTGTAGAAGCAGTCTGCATACCTAGGTGGTTGATTTTATACAACTGTGGCCATGGAAGTGATTGGAACACCTGAATTCAATGATTTGGAGGGGTGTCCCAATCCTTTTGGCAATATAACGGTTGTGAAGTTAGTACTTAATTAAGATGAGAGTATACAATTTTGGATGCAGCCAATCAGTCTGAATGAATCGGAGAAGAGAACCGTCTGTTCCGAACATCAACTATTCGTAATGAAAAATGGGTTATTAAATACCCAAATAGCATCAATTTTAGAAATAAAACTCATTGGAAATATTTTTACAACAGTTTTATCCACACACATTGGGTTTGGTAAGTTTTAATAAAACAATTTGCAAAAACTTTTCAACCAAGAAGATGTAAATTAATTTGAATGCAAATTATATTTTGGTTTTACATTACTATAGTTTTATGAGCTCAATCATGGCTACAACAAAGTGAATTTGGACACGTTAAATGTATTTATTTAAACGTAGCCTAATCATAAAAGCATGTGATTTCCACGCCGTGATGTCAGAGACCACGTGATGACGTAAAAGAATAACTGAATCAGGTTTTTAGAATATTTTCTATTCGAAAGAACCGATTTGCCTCGGAGTCCACACACTACTGTACTGCATCATTACATGTCTTTGCGTTGGGGGTAAGGGGTAAACCAAGGAGCTCACGTACACTGTAAGGGGGCGTATGTTTAGGCTACGTCAGCGCTGCCAGCGTGGAGCGGAATGACACCAGGAAGTAGCACAATTCAATTGACTATACAAATAACCAAGAGAAAGGGTACCCGAGGTGGATTCTTGTGCTTTTTGGATTTGCTTCCCTAAAATACACAGCAAGCGACAACGCACAGGGACTAGTCCCTGCGACTGGGTTTTCAACATTGCATGGATAAACCGCCCGTGAAGGTAATGTAGAACAGTGCGTATCATTCCCTGAAGGACTCGCTCATTTGATTAAAGTGCAGGAAGCTTATTCTCTGTCATTGCTACAAGGAAAATGATGCGGAGATCTAACGTACTGGATTCATTTAAAGCCTCAATCGAGTATTTGCTATTAGTGCATAAAGCTCACCGTGATACTCACCGTCCTTTTTTTAGTAATGTGAAAATGAAATTTAGGCTTTAATAGAGATGGTGGTCAGCAAATCACAAAAAAATGGTGGTCTGCAAACCACTTTCGTGTGCAAAGTATCTCAACATCTAAAAACTGAAACAGTCACAAATCAGTTGTGTAGCATCATGCGTTGTGTTAGAACAGGATGCGCACGAGGATAAGGCATGACATTAGCTCACCAGATGAGTGCCCGTGTAATGGAATGAGCCTTGTCATCCGACAGGTTTTCATATCCTGTATATCAGGAATTATACATGTAGAACAGAGAAAGCTAGAATTAAGAGACCAATTTGACAAGTTACAAGTTAGCACAATTCACAAAATGCATTTATCAAGTCTACTAATAGTATTTTTTATTATTTAGTCAGTGTTTAAATGTATTGTTAAAACGCTCCATTATAACAAATGGACAGAGGCCTGAATGTTTTCTTTTTTCTCACATGCAGTGAAAGTGCCCTACAGGTGAAATATGAGTTTTGTTAAAGCATGAGGAATAATTTTATTTGATGTGAAAAGAAATGGGATATATAGCCATTGTCATGAAGTTAGCAAGTTATCCAGATTTTCAATGCAATGTCCTTCACGGGTAACCATATGCATTTTACTGTGTAATTTTAGATGATGGACCCTACACTTGCTGAGATGGGGAACCATCTTTCTGGTGCCATGAAGATTTTAGAAAGTGGAAAATTGTAAGACCTTTTGCATTACAACATTTTCAGTAATTGTTGTTATTACATTTAAATAGCTGTTCGCTACAAAGCTATCCTTATGACATGTTGACAGTATGTCCAGGGTTTTGTTTTACATATACCTAGTACCGTTGTATAACCATAATGTTGTGTGGATTTATTCAGGGAATCTGAACAGGGCAAAGAAAGAAGAAAGTT